CGATCAAGAATTCACCTCATGCATATCGACATCACAAAACAAATATGTGTGCTCTCCGACAGCAGTGAAAAATATAGAGACCAATCCGAATTGCATAATTGACGAAATATATCAAAGATCGGAGTCAACTCGGTGCGGAGTCCGGAAGAATGGACTAACATCCATTGTTTGGAAGCAACTCTACATGCCTAATACATGGCTATTCATCACAAAAAATCCTACCAAAATAGCAGTGATATGCAAGGGAATCAGAGAAGACATTGCTCTGAACCAAAGTGGAATACTGCAAGTGGAACAAGATTGCATAGTCAAAACGAAACAAAACACTCTGACGACAAGACGAGTAAGCACCGCTCCAGTAATTGCGAGTTATTCCAAGGCGATTCTCATCAACATAACAGACGTCCCGCAAAATAACGAACCAGAACAACTCGAAGAAGAGCCAATTTTCAAAATCTCCGACAGCTTGAATACAGTGAGACTAAATGAAGAAAAGATTCGGGAACAGCTACAAACGGCAATTTGGAAAAACATACAAACCCACACATACGCCGCCACTGGAGTGTCAGCAGCAATAATTTTTGCGATATTATTATTAGTATGGGTCATTCAAAAACAAATAACGAACGCAACCCGACGCAGGCAGAGGAATAGGCCGGAGTCAGCAAAACAAACTGAAATGCTCGAGTTGCAGCCACTACGCAACCTAGACTCAGTCGAGACAGGGGAGAATGTTGAATCAACATAAATTAGAAATTTCAACATAAATTTTAATTTAATCTGAAATTTCTACATCATTATAAAATCCACAATTTATTAGGAAATAAGGCAAGGTAATTAAACCCATCGCAAACCTTGTCCAAAGTTACTAAAAAACCACGAATCGATGTTCACGGGTTTTTCACCTTAATTTCCGTTATGATACCGCGTAGCGCCAGTGTTTTAGATACAAAGTCAACACACCTTTAATTGTTATTAAGTTATGAAAAATATTGTAATTAATTATTATTAGTTATGATAAATATTGTTAGGTTCAAATTGAAATATTTAATATAAATAAGAATCAATTTGAATAATAAAGCCAGTATCAAACAATAATAGTTTCTGCTCATTTAATTACACAAAGTAGCCATTTGTGATAATTATCCCCAAAGTTCTTCCCTAAGGGCTTTGTAGTCGTTATCTTGGTTCAAGATAACTAGTGACTTTCAGGCAATAATTCCTGGACGTCACGCACAGAGATACGGACCTTGGAGGCCTTACAACCCTCTAGTGAACTACACAAAGGGCCCAACTCTGTTCATTAGACAACTGCCAACTGTTTCAACAGGGGCATTCGGACATAATCCGTTTAAAATAATTTTATCACTGAAATTTATTTTTTCAGTATTAGGAATTTTGTCTAATTTTAAAAGAGATACTGAAGCACCAGTATCAATTAAGAATTTATAAAGTTGCCCATTATGGTAAGAATCCAAATATGGGTTTTTATCGTTATTGTCAAAGAATACTTTGCAATTAGAAAAATAAATTCTAGGAGAATGATTTAGTGCATAGCTCGTACCGGAGGCCTGACTATTATCTGGCACTTTTAAATCATTAATTGAAGTATTATAAGAGTCATAAGAGGCATCGCTTTTGGAATTATTAGAGGAATTAATTTTGGGTGAACGCTTTAGTGCATAGTTCGTACCGGAGGCCTGACTATTATCTGGCACTGTTGTATCGTCACTCAAAATTTTATCATCATGTAAAGGTACGTCGCTTTTTATTCCCAACCCCAAGAAACGACGTCGTTCTGAGGATCGGTGGAGTTTGAATGTACCTGAGTATTATCAGGTTGAGAATTGGAATTATTTTGAGAATTTCTAAGTTCATTGTTTCTTTTTAATTTGAAACATTCACTCACTAAATGTCCATCTTTTTTACAATATTTACACGTCTTTTTGGTATAATTATTAGAATAATTATTAGGAGGTTTAGAATTTGGATTGTAAGACGGTTTATTAATTTGGATATTTTTTGCTAAGTTCCTTTTCTTGAAGCAATATTTAAGCAAATGACCTGAGGTTTTACAAAATTGACAGAATTTTTGACCGGGAGGAGAATTTTGTGACTTGGAAGGTTTTGTAACTTGAAGGGCTCGTTCCTCTTCAAGTGCCACATTCAAGGCATCAGAAAGATTTTTAGGTTCTCTGCTTCTCAAAAAGCGAGAAATATCTGCATTAGAATGAAGAATAAACCTTTGAAGAGCCAATTCTTGTATGGTTCTCGAACGACCAACAGCTTCGTTAGCATTATGGAAACTTACAGAATTTAATAAACGAGTGCTAAGTTTATCGATTCGATTATAAAAATTTATAATGGATTCATTTTGAAATTGTTTAATTGTATTAAGTTCTTCCATAATTTGAGTGTAATGTTTTCTGTCAGAAAACAGTTGTAATAAAAGAGTTTTTAGGTCGTGCCATTCGGCGATGGGTTTATCTCTCATTTGTGCTTTTGCACTTCCAGTTATTTTCGAAATTATATAAGCTAATAAAGGATCTTTTTGAAAATCATTAGAAAATTTAAAAGCGTTTTCACAATTTGAAATAAATTCGGGTAAATCATTTCGATTTCCGTCAAAAGTTTTAGAAATTAATGAACACAAAAAGGTCAATGGAATACCAGAATTTGTATGTGCTGGTAAGCTAGTAGATTGAGAAGACGATGGGGCATTAGTGGTGGTTATAGTTGAGTTGTCTGTTGCGTCAGTCATTGACGGTAACATATTTGAGAGGAAATAGTACAAAAGTAAAAAAAAATGAAAAAGGAAATAAAAATAACAATTACTTAAAACAAGAATTTGAAAAAAGAAGATATTTAAAGAAGTTTTCCAAAGAATTTTCTTTCAAAAGTTATCAAAAGTATTAAAATAATAAAATAGCACTTGTTTCAAAAGTTAAGAAATAAAAGAAATAAAAATTGGAGCACTCTTGAGAAAAATTAAACAACAATAAAAATATAAATTGGTTAGTAGGGAAGAAAAAGGATCTTACTTAAGTCAATATGATTCCTTGGATTCCGGGAGATTCGTGGTTTTGGTCTTGGAGGTAAAACTCGGCTTGCAGCTGGTTTATCAATTGGACGTCGGAGAAGTTCAATTTTCCGCAGAGCAAGGACCAAATCCTGTTCGCAGCGCCAATTTATGTTGGGATCCTCGGAATACAATGTATTTTTGGTCAAGTAAAAACGCTTGGAGAACTAACTTTGGATTTATTTATTTAAATTAATTAAACTTATTGACAAAAATAACAAAGTATACGTAAATGGAGAGAACTGTAAGCTGGGTTGTTAGTCTAATGAGTGAACGCTTCTGAATGCAAAAGAAGCAATTTATATTGTCAACCTGCGTCATTAGGAACAAAGGAAAATGCGTTAAAACTGATCACGCGCTAGCCTCCTGGACCTGATAAGATTTCGTAAAGATAGCAGATGTTTGACCTAGATTATTATCGTTATCAATAGTTGAATGACGCAAATTACAATAATTATTATGTAGGGGTATAACACCTGATAAAACCAACATTCTTTTATTATTGAGCATTTTTGTACTATAATTATAGCTAATTTTATGTAACTTTATGACTATATCTGTCTGTTTGGTATTATTCAGTCCAATACTGGTTTGGCATTGACTGTTGGATTTTCATTAATTTTTTAAATTTACTGACTGACTTTGGGCTAACTTTGGAAAAACTTTAACACGTTCACGGACACTACTAGATTACTGGAGGTGCAGTACATTGCACCTTAATAACTTCAATAATATGGAAGATATCAAAACCAAAAAGGTACCTACGGGATTCTCATATAAAAAATAGACAGGAAATTAAAAAAAAACTAACGTCTATAAACGTTCCTGTCACATTGAAGACATTTTTCTATACATATTGTGACATGGGACGTCTATATACGTCATGCTGAAATGTAATAATCATGGTTTATCACTCTACTAAATTTAAACATAGAACAGTTTATTGATGCCCCAATTTGAAACATGGAGCAGGGCATAATGGCGAATTTTCTGGACAAGTTTTACATCTGTATTGGCGCGTAAAATCGCGCATGCAGTGCTGTCTTCGCTGCCACGTTTTCTCAATACGCCACCAAGTCAAGAAACATCACAGTGGTTAATTACTGTGCTTGATGTGACGCCCGAACATACTACAATGGATATCCGACGTCTGGGAACGTACGAGCTCTGTGAATTTTTGTTCAGCTATTTGCTCAATTTGTATTTATTATTTTATATTTAAAATTTCTATTGTCGCAATAATAATTCCGAGAATAATTCACGCTCAATAGATACCCTAATTTTGGTCGCATTCATACAATTCTATTTTTAGAAAACAAACAGGTCCATTCAAGTCACTGCAACTCCACAAACACACCATTATTGCAATCGTCTCTCCCTCACAGCTTGCCGCAGGCACCTGTAGTAACACCCCGTCGGTGCTAGAGTAGTCAGTCGAAAATAGGTCATTGTGTCATACCATGCGTTCGGCCATCACAGATCAATAATTTTTCTTTGTCATATGTGTAAGAGAAGGACAATTTGATTTGGAATAATCTCTATTGTTTTGTATATTGTGCTCTACTTTGTAAATAATGTTAGAATAGAATAAAAATAATCGGGCTAGAGATACAAAGAGTTATCTACCTGCCTAAGGGTCGGGTATGACCGCATTCTTGGGATGTTTACGAATATTTTTTGTTATGATGATGATTCATTGAGAATAGGGTTTATTTTTGTAAAGGGTGTGCATTTTTGTCGGAATGCATAGTCAGTCTATTGGAGATTTCTTTTGTGTAAAGTTGTGGAATAAATTTATGATATTTAGAGATTTTGCGAGTTTAATTTTCGAGCGGATTTTATATATCAGAAGTGGGATTACGCGCCTGTATTGTTAGTTTGTGCCGATTTGTTTATTATCTGGATATTGAGTATATCATAGACTATAGAGACAGTGTATTTTCAAAATGGTCTAAGTGAATTCGAATCGATAATGGGGCTATCGAAACATCGACGCGAGAGTCGTCCCTCGAAATCGAAACGTAAACGTAGAGTTTCGTCGAGTTCAAGCTCTACAAGTTCGAGTTCTAGCTCTGGAAGTAGCAGTAGCAGTTCTGGTAGTGATCACGATGGTCGTGAAAAATTAAAGCGTACAAAGAGACTGCTTAAAAAGAGATACTCGAATACAGTGTGCGATGAACATTTAATTCCTCGTTTCGATCCTAATGAAAAAACATTACGTGTTGAAAAATGGGTGGAAAAAGTAGATGAGTTAGCGGAGTGCTACAGTTGGGATTCTATGACCACAGTGAAATTAGCTTCAAATCGGTTGAAGGGAATGGCGCGTCGTTGGTATGATGCGCAGGATAAGGTATTTGCTAAGTGGAAGACAATGAAAAAGCCATTACTGGAACAATTCAATAAGCCACTTCCATTTGGTCAATTATTGAAGGAAGCTGCGAATTTTGAAGTTCAAAAAGGACAGGATTTATGTGAGTACTGTTTTGAAAAGTTAGGAAAACTTAAAGCTCTTCAAATTGACATTCCACAGAAATTTTTAGTAGATGCAATAATATCAGGCATAAAAGATGAAATTATAGTTCTTGCTGCTAAATCATCAAATATTACCACTACTAATGAACTATATTCGTATCTTAGTACTTTAGGTCCCTCAGTTAATAAACAAGTCCTTGAAAGAAAAGATTTAACTAAACCTGCTTCCCATTATCGTCCTTTGAGCATGAAACGAAATGATGCCGGTTCTAGTTCGTCAAAAAACAAATATCAGGTTACTTGCTTCAATTGTGGGGATGCTCATTACGTTAAACATTTTCCCAAGCCACTTATAGAATGTTTTAAGTGCAAAAAACTAGGACACAAAAAGAACATGTGTCAATTAAATTCCAATAAGTCACATCCCAAATGGAATAAAGAATCTGTCAATTTAGCCGATCAAGTAAATGTTCCCAATAATCCCTATGTACTAACATCGATAATAAATGGGGTAAAATTTAAGTGCCTTTTAGACAAAGGAAGTTCTTGCACAATTATTAGACGACAAGTAGCAAATCGCTTGGGATTAAAAATTGTTTCAAAGACCAGCTTGTCTTGCGCGCTTTTACTGGGAATCTAATTGAGAGCTCTGGGATCGTGACTATAAGAGTAAGGATTGGGGAAGCAAAAGCACAATTACAAGCTGTAGTAATGGAAGATGAAGAAATGATCTTTGATTGTATTATAGGACGCAATTTTCTCAACTTGCCCAATATTCTAATGTATAAAGTTGGAACACAAGTGTTTATTCGACAACTACCAGGCTTTGATGAAAATAAAATTACAGACTGTGAAGTTGCATGTCAATGCGAACTCAGTACCATAGCTGCAAATATACCTCAGGAGTATAACCAAAAGCTACGTAGTTTATTATACGAATTCAATGACTGTATCGCAACTTCCATGAAAAATTTAGGAAAAACAAATGCCACGGCGATGGTCATTAAAACTGTCAATGATGAACCTATAGTATATCATCCATATCGATTATCCATGGATGAAAGAAATACTTTGCGAATAATGCTGGAAGAATTGTTGGAAAACGGCATTATTAGAGAATCCACCTCTCCATATGCTAGCCCTGTCATACTGGTTAAGAAGAAAACAGGTGGATATAGGATGTGCGTGGATTATCGCCGATTAAATGCGATTACGGTTAAGGACAAATTCCCACTACCATTGATTGAGGACCAAATTGATCGTTTGGGAGGTAATACATATTTTACAGCTTTAGATCTGGCTTCAGGTTTCTATCAAGTTCCCATGGATGAAACCTCTATTCAAAAAACTGCGTTTGTTACTCCAGATTCCCACTACGAATTTCTCAGAATGCCATTTGGCTTGACCAATTCTCCTGCGGTATTCCAGAGGCTGATGAATAATACACTGGGCCAATTGAAGAATACCATTGCATTTCCCTATATTGACGATGTTATCATTCCTTCCAAATCCATAGAAGAAGGCCTCATAAGCTTACGTTTAGTTCTTGATGCGTTTAGAGAGCACAACCTTACTCTAAATTTGGAGAATCTAGCAATTGTGATTTTGCACAACCCAGTACATCTTAAATATTGCCATTTAGCAGTTGTGATTCTCCACAACCCAGTACATCTAAAATATTCCCATCTGGCAGTTGTGATTCTGCACAACCCAGTACATCTAGAATATTACCATCTAGAAGTTGTGATTCTCTACAACCCAGTACATCTTAAATATTGCCATCTAGCAGTTGTGATTCTGCACAACCCAGTACATCTGAAAAATTGCTATCTAGCAGTTGTGTGTCATACAAAAATTAAATAATTGTTTATTTCTAGTTGGTAGATTACTCTGAAAGTACCATGATAAGGTGCTCAATATACAATATTATTAAAGAACATTTTAATCCTCATTCCCACAAACTTGTAGTGGAATATGGCAGAGGGGAAATTGAAGATCCCCTCCATCTTCGCGTTGGACCTGTAGAAAGATTTTTTGCAAGGCAAGGCAGTTTTTTTTTTTTTTTTTTTTCAATAAAAAAAAAATGCATTTTCTTTTTCAGGTTCGGGGGCATGGGGATCATACATACTCCCAGAAGAAATATTGTGGAGGAATTGGTCAAGAAAATGTTAATACTAAAAGAAGAATTATTTGCCAGATGTGAAGGTATGAGGAGGGCGCTAACAGTTAATGAAATAGAACAGGTAATAGTTATATTCTGAATAGTGACAATGTACAGTTTCAGATATGGCTACATGTAAAATATTTCCATCTAGAAGTTGTGATTCTCCACAAACCAGTACATCTAAAATATTGCTATCTAGCAGTTGTGTGTCATTCAAAAATTAAATAATTGTTTATTTCTAGCTGGTAAATTACTCTGAAAGTGCCATGATAAGGTGCTCAATATACAATATTATTAAAGAACATTTTACTCCTCATACCCATAAACTTGTAGTGGAATATGGCAGAGGGGAAATTGAAGATCCCCTGCATCTTCGCGTTCGACCAGTCGAAGGATTTTTTGCAAGGCAAGGCAGTTTTCTTTTTTTTTTCAATGAAAAAAATGCATTTTCTTCTTCAGGTTCGGGGGCATGGGGACCATATGTACTCCCAGAAGAAATATTGAGGAGGAATTTGTCAAGAAAATGTTAATACTAAAAGAAGAATTAATTGCCAGATGTGAAGGTATGAGAAGGGCGCTAACAGCTAATGAAATAGAAGAGGTAATAGTTATATTCTGAATAGTGACAATGTACAGTTTCAGATATGGCTACATGTAAAATATTGCCATCTAGCAGTTGTGATTCTGCATACCCAGTACATCAAAAATATTTCCATCTAGCAGTTGTGATTCTGCACAACCCAGTACATCTTAAATATTGCCATCTAGAAGTTGTGATTCTCCACAACCCAGTACATCTTAAATATTGCCATCTAGCAATTGTGATTCTGCACAACCCAGTACATCTTAAATATTGCTATCTAGCAGTTGTGATTCTGCACAACCCAGTACATCTAACATATTGCCATCTAGCAGTTGTGATTCTGCAAAACCCAGTACATCTAAAAAATTGCTATCTAGCAGTTGTGTGTCATCCAAAAATTAAATAATTATTTATTTCCAGCTGGTAAATTACTCTGAAAGTGCCATGATAAGGTGCTCAATATACAATATTATTAAAGAAGATTTTAATCTTCATCTCCATAAACTTGTAATGGAATATGGCAGAGGGGAAATTGAAGATCCCCTTCATCTTCGCGTTGGACCTGTAGAAGGATTTTTGGCAACGCGAAGCAATTTATTTTATTTTTCTCAATTAAAAAAAAAAAAAATTTTTTTCAGGTTCGGGGGCATGGGGATCATACATACTCCCAGAAGAAATATTGTGGAGGAATTGGTCAAGAAAATGTTAATACTAAAAGAAGAATTAATTGCCAGATGTGAAGGTATGAGGAGGGCGCTAATAGCTTATGAAATAGAAGAGGCAATACTTATATTCTGAATAGTGACAATGTACAGTTTCAGATATGGCTGCATGTAAAATATTGCCATCTAGAAGTTATGATTCTGCACAACCCAGTACATCCAAAATATTGCCATCTAGCAGTTGTGATTCTGCACAACCCAGTACATCTAAAAAATTGCTATCTAGCAGTTGTGTCTCATCCAAAAATTAAACAATTGTTTATTTCTAGCTGGTAAATAACTCTGAAAGTGCCATGATAAGGTGCTCAATATACAATATTAATAAAGAAGATTTTAACCCTCGTCCCCATAAACTTGTAGTGGAATATGGCAGAGGGGAAATTAAAGATCCCCTCCATTTTCGCGTTGGACCTGTAGAGGGATTTTTTATATGTTGAGCAGCCAGCCAACAAATTTTGTTTCAGATATAAGTCTGAAATGCTTGGTACCCATGGTTGCCTTAAAGGTATAACCTCTGATGGTATAAGAAAACCAACTTATCCTACTGTTGAGGTGATAAAAGAAATCCCATGTCATCCAAAAATTAAATAATTGTTTATTTCTAGCTGCTAAATTACTCTGGAAGTGCCATGATAAGGTGCTCAATATACAATATTATTAAAGAAGATTTTAGTCCTCATCCCCATAAATTTGTAGTGGAATATGGCAGAGGGGAAATTGAAGATCCCCTCTGTTATGAAACAAAGAAATGTGTAATTATTTTCATAAATAATTTGGTTTTGTTTTTAATGTTATTTAAGAGAGGATGGTGTAATGTAACCACGGCAACAATGTTTTATAGGGGCGGCCATCCAACATTGTCAGTCTGTGTGTGTCTGTCTTGAGCGAGCAAGACGGACAAGAAAGAAATAAAATAACTAGAATTAGTCCTGTGTTTTATATCACAAAAAGGCAAAAAAGGTGTGAAAATTATTAACATGGTCCTTCGAATGCCGAATGTGTATCAGTAAACAGTGTGTATATCCGAGCAAAACTAAAGTGCCTGCAAATTTAACAGTTTATTGTGAAAAAATAAAGGTGAAAAGTAACCGCCGTAACCGATCTTCACCCCGTCGGAGGCGATACAGTCGCCCAGTGTAAAAAAGTCCATGTTGTCGCGGCGTTTCTGTGTTTAATGAACTGGTGAACTCTAGCAGCACTTTAGGTGGCTGTTTATTTTATTGTAAGTCCCGAAATTTTAAATTTGGGGCAGATAATTATTGCGTGGAGGGATTACGACGTTGCCACGTGTTGTGACTGGCCGTAAATTTTGATTATTTGCAGACTTTTGTGTGTGTGGATTGCTGGCTTGAAAAACAATTCTGTGGAAATCAACAATAAAGGCGATCAATGTGAGTACTTTCCATTCTAATCATTATTCGTTTTATTTTAGGTGGCTTCTTTTCTGTTTTCTGGTTGTTTTATATACCTAACGTAAATTAAAAATTAGTTTGAATTCAGTTAATGAAAATTGTTCATCATTAATCATCATGTCTGGGGCTAGAAAATTGAGGGGTTTAAAAAAGAAACGCGAAGGTCTAAAATGGCGGCAGATTTTTTTTTTAAACAGTACCTTGGCGGATTTTTAAAAGGAATATCTGAAATTAATTTGCTGGAGTTAAATAGAGAAGAAGTTGTTGAGTTGAAATCTAGGTTAGATAAATTTAATTCATTATCGAAAGAATATGATGAGGTGCAGGACCGGATTGAAGCGCTGGTTGATGATTTGGATCAAAATGAGGAACAGAAAGATAGATTACAGTTTGAAAATTTATATTTTAAATTGAGTTCTCAAGCTAAACATTTTTGCAATCAGTATGATAATCTTATGAAAAGAGTAGATGAACAATTCACTAATGCTAATGCTAATGCGAGTAGTGATGTAAACTATAATCAATCTCAAAGGTTCGCTCATGGTGAAAATATACAGGGTGTGAAATTACCAGCTATAAATTTACAAAAATTTTATGGTGACTATAAAAAGTGGCTGGAATTTCGTGATCTTTTCGATTCCTTAATTAATTCAAATGTAACATTATCGCCAATTCAGAAGTTTCATTATCTGAGGGCATCTTTAGAGGGTGGAGCGGCTCAAGTGATAAGAGGCATTCAGTTGAGTGGTGAAAATTATAGCCTAGCATGGACAACATTGTCTAGTAGATATGAAAACAAAAATATTTTACTTAGTCCAAAATCATGTGAAAGGTCTTTTCTCTCTTCCTGTTTTATTATCTGAATATTCAAAAGGGTTGAGAAATTTAATTGACGATGTTAGCAAACATATTACTTCTCTTAAAAGTTTGGATCAACCTTGCGATTATTGGGATTCTTTGCTAATTTATATTTTGGCCGGAAAACTGGACAAAACTACGTCACGTGAATAGAAAGAGAGAAAGGCTACCTTATGAGTATAGGTGATTCTTCGCCAAAATTTGACGAGTTCATGAGTTTTTTAAAATCCAAGGCAAATTTTTTGGAAAATCTCGAATTATCAAAAGACAAACCGGTTAAGCCGCCACTTATTCAAGTTCACATTCGTATCATGCTTTGGAACAGTCGTGTATTTCTTGTGGAGCCTCTCATGTGCTACACAGGTGTCCTGAGTTTATGAAACTGAATGTGAATGATAGGGTCGAAAAGGTAAAGAAATGGAGGTTGTGCTTTAATTGTTTAAAACCTGGCCATGCTTATGGCTCATGTACATCATCCTTCTGTGCCAAGTGTAAATTAGAACATAACACTACATTTTGAACGAAGAGGTTTTGGTAGACCTTCACAGAGTCAAAGGTCAAATGAAGGCAGTGGCCAGAGCATTCAAATTTAAAATAACCAAACAAATAATAGTCGAGATGAAAATAGAGTTGTTGATTCAGACCCAGCAATTAATATGTCAAGCGAGGTATTTCATGGCAATTCAAATCAAGTGTTGTTACAAACTGCATTAGTCCAAGTGTTGGACTTGAAAGGTGTTTCTCAGGTGTGTTGAGTTTTGCTAGATAGTGCTAGCCAAAGTAATTTCATTACAAAGGAGTGTTGTGATACGTTAGGCCTTAAATTACTGGATATGCCAATTTCTGTGACTGGTGTTGGTCACACAGTTACCCAGTTGAAACATAGATGTGAAGTGAAAATTCATTCACTTAAAAATGCTTATGAGGTTGATATTTCTTGTGTTGTGATTCCAAAAATAAGTGGAAGGTATCCATCGTTTACTATAAATAGTACATCTGACCCTGGGTTTAGAGTATCAGGTGAAATAATTGGCAGTGGTGAATATTTGCATTTGTTGTGCATTGGTCTGGTTCATTTAGGTGAAGGTGTACCAACCTTGCAAAAAACCAAATTTGGCTAGATCATTGGTGGTGAGTGGAGAATTTCAAGAGCAACTCCTAGTGTGACCATTTTGTGGGTAGCATGGTGAGCAATCAAGATCTTCATCATGTCATGGCTAAATTTTAGGAAATCGAGGAGGTGAATGTCAACAAAAAACTATCTGATGAGGAAAAACAGTGTGTGGAATTTTTTGAGGAAACTACTACGCGAGATGTGAATGGTCGTTTTATTGTGCAAATGCCTTCCAAGAAATCTCCAGAACTCTCAGGAGACAGTAAGCAACGTGCAATACGGAGATTTTATTCATTGGAATCAAAATTGTTGAAAAATCCAGTTTTAAGAGAAAAATATGTGGCTTTTATAGAAGAGTATCAATCATTATCCCATATGGTTGAAATATCTTCAGCTAAAGAAAGTGTAGATTCTTCATTCTATTTTCTTCACCATTGTGTCACAAACGATAAGAGCCGTTTTACAAAACTTCGTGTAGTATTTGATGGGTCAGCTGTTTCTGATAGTGGCGATTCATTAAATAGTATTCAGTTGGTGGGTTCTACTTTGCAGAACAGTTTGTTTCAAATAATATTGAGGTTTAGGCAGCATAACATTGTGGTCTGTGCAGATATTGTTAAAATGTATCGGCAGATACGCATTGCTGACAATCAGCTGAGTTCACAGAGAATTGTGTGGAGGTCAGATCCCTCACATGACCTTAAAACCTTTGAATTACAGACTGTGACTTATGGCACATCATCTGTGCCATATTTAGCTGTTCAGTGTTTACAATAACTGGCCTTGAAGTCTAATGAGACCCACCCTTTGGCAGCTAAAATAATTTCAAGGGATTTTTATAGGGATGATCTGATCACAGGAACAGAGAAATCTGGTGAAGCGATAAAGTTGTGTGATGAAATAAGTGAAGTATTAAATCAAGACTGCTTTCAACTTCAGAACTGGGCCTCAAACAACAAACAAGTCTTAGATCATCTCCGTTCAAAATATTCAGTATCCCCAATTCTAGTATTTGGTGAAAATGAAAAGACTATGCCCTTGGGTCTTTATTGGTCTTGTGATGAGGACTATTAAATGTATAACATAAATCACCAAGTTAGTGATCGTATTACAAAAAGAACCATGCTATCAGCCATAGCCCAAATTTTTGACCCGCTAGGTCTTCTGGGTCCTTGCATAATTGTCGCTAAAATGATTCTTCAATGGTTGTGGTTACTTAAGGTGTCATGGGATGAGTCACTTCCATCTGACCTAAATTATTTGTGGTGTAAGTTCCAAAAAGCCTTACCATCTTTAAATAGGCTTCAAATAGCAAGACATGTGTTATGTGTTCGACCCATTAGAGTGGAGCTCTACGGTTTCTCGGATGCTTCGATAGAATCGTATGGTGCATGTGTGTACTTGAGAAGTGTAAATGAATCGCAGGACATTCAGGTTAAGCTCTTGTGTGCAAAATCTGAGGTGGCAGCTCTTAAAAGCATAACGTTGGAGTTGTGTGCTTGTTTAATCTTGGCAAAGTTAGTGAATACGGTTAAACAGTTTATGAATTTAACCTTTGATTCGTGTGTATTGTGGACTAACTCATCTTTGTGTTTGACTTGGATTATAAACTCCCTCACACATGTTACAATTTTCTGTGGGTAATAGGGTTTCCCAAATACAATCGTTAACTTTACCTGCAGAGTGGAATTATAAATCATCCAAAGATAACCCTGCAGACGTATTATCGCGAGGTTCAAATCCCGAAAAATTGCAGGAGTGTGACTTTTGGTGGAAAAGTCCAACTTGGCTTTCGAAACCCCAATCAGATTGGCCCGAACCTAAATTTCAAATTCTTGAAAACATTCCTGAGCTTAGTTTAGTTTACAAAATTTTCTAGATTATACAAAATCCAACGTGTGTGTGCATACTGTGTCAAATTTATCAAAGCATGTCAAAACAAAGGAAAACCTGATAATGGACTTAATGGAGTCTTTTCTGTGAGTGAGTTAGATGAAGTCCTTTTGTTGTTGATGAAAAAAAAAAGGTACATCTAAAAAGAGTTTTATCTAATGCCTGTTTAACATATGAAGATCCCTGTACTGTTCTCAATGAAATTGAAGCTATCCTAAATTCCCGACCTCTAAGACCCATGTCGTCTGATCCCAGTGATTATTCCTCCGTAACCCCCTTACACCAGATCCAGGCGTGCAACATATCCCAGAAACGAGACTTTCCCATTATCAGCGTCTTCAACGATTGCAGCAACATTTCTGGACAAGATGGGTCTTAGAATATGTGTCAGAGCTGCAAGTATTACAAAAGTGGCACACAACCCAGCTACAGTTGAAGATTGGTATGCTAGTGATAATAAAAGAAGATGAAGCTCCTTCCCTCCAGTGGTGTTTGGGAAGAGTTGTGGAGTTGCATCCCGGACATGATGGTATAGCACGGGTGGCAACAATTAAGACTGCACGTGGTAAAATCAAACGAGCTTTGTCTAAAATTTGTGTTCTGCCTATAGACATTCCGACCTTTCAAACCAAATGTGTAAAAAACGGTAATACTTCAACAAGTGTGCTTGAAAATCCTTCAAGAAATTCCGATGTTCCAAGCGGTACTTGTGTTCCGAAGTAGTTGTATTGTTTATGTATTTATTGATTTTTTGCTTCTTTGGTTCTACAGTTACTTTGGGTTAAATATTATATAATTTTGTGAGTTGAACCTGGGAGGCTTCAAGGTGTGATTATTTTCATAAATATCATTTATAATTTGGTTTTGTTTTTAATGTTATTTAAGAGAGGATGGTGTAATGTAACCACGGCAACTATGTTTTTTAGAGGCGGCCATCCAACCTTGTCAGTGTGTGTGTGTGTGTGTCTGTCTTGAGCAAGCAAGACGGACAAGAGAAAAATAAAATAACTAGAATAATTAGTCCTGTGTTTTATTTCACAAAAAGGCAAAAAAGGTGTGAAAATGTGGACCTGTAGAAGGATTTTTTGCAAGGCAAGGCAGTTTTTTTTTTCAATAAAAAAAATGCATTTTCTTTTTCAGGTTCGGGGGCACGGGGATCATACATACTCCCAGAAGAAATATTGTGGAGGAATTGGTCAAGAAAATGTTAATACTAGAAGAAGAATTAATTGCCAGATGTGAAGGTATGAGGAGGGCGCTAACAGCTAATGAATTAGAAGAGGTAATAGTTAGCTAGAATTCAATTATCCACTTTTGTGCGCCCTGGTGGAGGCGCACGTAAACTTTTTTAAAGTACCTATGTAACAACCAATTATATTATTATAACACCAGGTCATCTCTTCAATCCCAACATACTGCTGCCTCTCGTATCAAATATTTTTTTTTTGAAATTATGCATTTCACCTCTAAATCCCATATTACTTTGCTTATATAATAAAATATCAAAACTAACAACACCAAAAGCCTTACTTAGGTCAACAAACACTGCAACAACGGTCTTTTCATTATCCAAAGATTTAAACAAATATTGCCATCTAGAAGTTGTGATTCTCCACAACCCAGTACATGTAAAATATTGCCATCTAGCAGCTGTGATTCTGCACAACCCAGTACATCTTGAATATTGCCATCTAGCAGTTGTAATTCTGCACAACCCAGTACATCTAAAATATTGCCATCTAGCAGTTGTGACTCTGCACAACCCAGTACATCTAAAATATTGCTGTCTAGCCGTTGTGATTCTGCACAACCCAGTACATCTAAAATATTGCCATCTAGCAGTTGTGATTCTACACAACCCAGTACATCTAAAATATTGCTATCTAGCAGTTGTGTGTCATCCAAAAATGAAATAATTGTTTACTTCTAGCTGGTAAATTACTCTGAAAGTGCCATGATAAGGTGCTCAATATACAACATTATAAAAGAACATTTTAATCCTCATTCCCATAAACTTGTAGTGGAATATGGTAGAGGGGAAATTGAAGATCCCCTTCATCGTCGCGTTGGACCTGTAGAAGGATTTTTTACAAGGCAAGGTAATTTTTTTTTCTCAATAAAAAAAAATGCATTTTCTTTTTCAGGTTCGGGGGCATGGGTATCATACATACTCTCAGAATAAATATTGTGGAGGAATTGGTCAAGAAAATGTTAATACTAAAAGAAGAATTAATTGCCAGATGTGAAGGTATGAGGAGGACGCTAACAGCTAATGAAATAGAAGAGGTAATAGTTATATTCTGAATTGTGACAATGTACAGTTTCAGATATAGCTACATCTAAAATATTGCCATCTAGAAGTTGTGATTCTCCACAACCCAGTACATCTAAAATATTACCATCTAGCAGTTGTGATTCTGCACAACCCAGTACATCTAAAATATTGCCATCTAGCAGTTGTGATTCTGCACAACCCAGTACATGTAAAATATTGCCATCTAGCAGTTGTGATGGTGCACAACCCAGTACATCTAAAATATTGCCATCTAGAAGTTGTGATTTTGCACAACCAAGTACATCTAAAATATTGCCATCTAGCAGTTGTGATTCTGTACAACCCAGTACATGTAAAATATTGCCATCTAGCAGTTGTGATTGTGCACAACCCAGTACATATAAAATATTGCCATCTAGCAGTTCTGATTCTGCACAACCCAGTACATCTAAAATATTGCCATCTAGAAGTTTTGATTTTGCACAACCAAGTACATCTAAAATATTGCCATCTAGCAGTTGTGATTCTGTACAATCCAGTACATGTAAAATATTGCCATCTAGCAGTTGTGATTATGCACAACCCAGTACATCTAAAATATTGCCATCTAGCAGTTCTGATTCTGCACAACCAAGTATATCTAAAATATTGCCATCTAGCAGTTGTGATTCTGCAACCCAGTACATCTAAAATATTACCATCTAGCAGTTGTGATTCTGCACAACCCAATACATCTATAATATTGCTATCTAGCAGGTGCGTGTCATCCAAAAATTAAATAATTGTTTATTTCTAGCTGGTAAATTACTCTGAAAGTGCCATGAGGTGCTCAATATACAATATTAATAAGAAACATTTTAATCCCCACGCCCATAAACTTGTAGTGGAATATGGCAGAGTGGAAATTGAAGATCCCCTCCTACTTCGCGTTGGACCTGTCGAAGGATTTTTTGCAAGGCAAGGCAGTTTTTTTTTTCTCAATGAGAAAAAATGCATTTTATTTTTCAGGTTCGGGGGCATGGGGATCATACATACTCCCAGAAGAAATATTGTGGAGGAATTGGTTAAGAAAATGTTAATACTAAAAGAAGAAATAATTGCCAGATGTGAAGGTATGAGGAGGGCGCTAACAGCATAGATGAGGTAATAGTTATATTCTGAATAGCGATAGTGACTATCGACTTGAAGTCAATACATACCATTTGAAAAGACCAAAATAATTTCTCTGTTGATAGTGTAATTATATATTTTAGAAGTTTCAAAGATTTGGTCAGTTCCTGCTACAAAATTGCTGATAAACCAATGCAAAAACCATGAACAAGAATTCGAAAATGCAGTGAAAAAATATATCTGGACAAAAATTGCCCAAATCCTGTCGGATACATTTAATCACTCATATATTGGGCAGCAAAGCGATACAAAGTGGAAGGGGCTCCTAAATATGTATAAAAAATAAAGAAACATAATGAAAAGTCGGGAAATGATCGAAAGAACTGGCAATTTTATGATATGATGGATGAAGTACTTTTCAATCGACCAGAAATCAATGCAAGAGCCACATGGTCCAGTTCAAGAGGACTTGTAATAAATAATAATGTGAGTGTCCTAGTCCTAGCAATGAAAATACTTCATCTACAGGTATTACTGAAACTAGTAAGTTATAAATTTGATATCATAACTCTCAATATTCAATATAACTCTCTTTATTTTTTGATTTGAGAAGAAGTAAAATTAAAATATTTTGACTACACCTTTTCCATAAGTATTTCAGAATGTATCACTTGTATTTCAGATTCATCAATTCTAGTTCAGAATGCGTCAATTCTATTTCAGTTGTGTGAGTTCAATTTCAGAAAGTGTTATTTGTATTTCAACTTTGTCAGTTGTAGTTCAGAAAACATCATTTGTGTTTCAGATTCGTCAGGTGTATTTCAGAAAAAGTCATTTGTATTTCAGTTTGGTCACTTGTATTTCAGAAATCGTCATTTGTGTTTCAGATTATTTATTTGTAGATCAGAAATTGTAAATTGTATTTCAGAATTCGTCAAATGTATTTCAGATATTATCAATGTAGTTGTATTAAATAAAATTTATAATGAGTCACTTATACACCTAACTTGTGTTGATTTGGGGAAATCTGCGTAGATACCTACTAATTTCCGAACTATGTACATCTGACAATTTCTGAAATACAATTCACGTTTTCTGAACTACAATCAACTAATCTGAAATACAATTGATGCTTTCCGATATAAAATTAACCAATCTGAAATACAATTGACACTTTCTGAAATAAAATAAACTAATCTGAAATACAATTGATTCTTTCCCAGATAAAATTATTTATTCTGAAATACAATTGACGCTTTCCGAAATACAATTTACTAATCTGAATTTCAATTGACGCATTCTGAAATTAAACTGACGATCTCTGAAATACATATGGAAAAGGTGTAGTTACAAATTTCTGAATAAACTAATGGAAGTCAAGTTAAAATATTTTTATTTCACTTTTTGTCAAATCATGGATCTCAATTTTCACCAAGTATCGGCTCAATCAATTCAAATCTCTATTTTTCACCCATCAAATATTCTATTCAATTGTTTCATGTTTTATATTATTTTAAGATTGGAAAGAGAACCAAATGAAGATAACGGGAACTCTACACCTACAAGTAAACAATCTTCCAGTTCATCCTTTACCAAAAAAAAAGAATTAATGAGAATGCATCTGAACGACGCCACAGAGAAAAAATGGCCAGACAAGATAGATACTTGGATCTGTTAAGAATAAGATTTAAATTAATAATTTGTTTTTGTATTTGGAATTGTTTACTATTTTCATGTTTTATAGAATTAGTTGATAGATGGCGCGGCATAACTGTATTGGAAGTGTTCGATAACTTTTCTATGGTATAAGCTAGATATTTGTTTAAATAAGAATTTGAGGTTAAGTTGAAATGTGTCAATTTTTGAATTATTATCAGCTGTTAGTTTGAAGTTTGGCTGTACTTGTACTACCCGCGTGTTCTTTGTTTGTGGTGGATTGTGGAAATAAATTAATCAAAATTCTGCGTTTATTTAATATAAAATAAGATAAAATCCCAACAGGTTATGGGCCCAGGTCCCACAGATCCCTACAACACAAAGCACACAAGTGAAAAATAAAATAAAACCAGTAAAACCAATAAAGTAAAAAAAGTTGAAATTAGTCTTGTTCGTGGTGAAGTGAAAAAAGTGTAAAAGACATAAAAAGACTTTAAAATGGCGTCTTCTGATGAAGCAATTCAAATTGACAAACTAACAAATAGTGAAACCTACCAGATATGGAAATTTCAAATAATAGTTTTCTTCAAATCAAGTGGCTTATGGGAAATAGTGAATGGAACAAGAATTCTCTCTGATCAGGCAAGTGAAACTGAAAAAACTGATTTTTTGAGAAAAGATGCAAGAGCACAGAAAATAATAATCACATCAATTGATAAAAAAATCCTTATGCATATAATGCACTGTGAAAATGCTCATGAAATGTTCGAGAAATTGAAAGGTATTTATGAGAAAATTTCTGAAGATGAAAAATGTAGTTTGTTGCAAAAATTTTTTAATTATGCTTATCAAAAAGACAATGATATGAATATACACATAAGTAGCTTGGAAAATCTGGCACATAGGCTCAAAGTATTGAATCAGGACATAACAGAAAGTATGTTAATTTCAAAAATCCTTTCTACCCTTCCGGAATCGTATAAACATTTTATAACTGCATGGGAGTCAACATCAACCCCTGAAAAAACATTGACAAATCTAACTAACAGATTACTGGCAGAAGAGTCCAGGCTAAACAAACAAACAGAAGCGAGCAATGATGTAGCATTTAAGACCCTACCTTTCCAAAAAAGTGGCCCCCACCATTCTAAAAACTTCAATAGAAGTGACAATAACTGTTTTAAATGTGGTGAAAAAGGACATTTTGCTCGTACTTGTAATAAGAAACCTAAACAGTGTAGAATATGTAAAAAGAATAATCATCTGGAGCAAAATTGTTTCTTTCGAAATAAGAACCCAAACCTTCGAAGAAATTCAGAAGACAAAGTTGCTTTTCTTTGTGCAAATCCTGCTCCGTCAACTGGCACAGTATCTTTCGTGATGGATTCAGGTGCATCATCCCACATGACAAATGAAAAAGATCTATTTTCATCTTTCACAGAAGAAGTGTCCAATATTTCAGTAGCAAAGAAAAACCAAACAATGCAATCAGAAGGGAAAGGCCACATAGAGGGAACTGAGTGTGTCTTAAAAGAGGTACTTTTTGTACCAGATTTGAATAAAAATTTATTGTCAGTAAATAAAATTACAGAAAACAATGGTCAAGTAATTTTTTCAAAAGAAAATGTAATAGTTCTGAAGGAAAATAAAAAAATACTAGAAGGAAAAAGGGAAGAAAACGGATTATACACAATTAAATTTAAAAATGAAGCAAAAGAAATTAGTTATTTTACTGAAAACAAAAACAATATAAGACTATGGCATCAAAAAATGGGACATCTAGGATTATCAAATCTTAAAAAACTGCTGGACATGTCAGATGGAATGAACCTGAAATATAATAATTCCGAAAAATTTGTTTGTGAAATCTGCTTAAAAGCCAAACAAACCAGATTGCCCTTCAGTAGTGTAAGAACTCGTGCTACAAGACCCCTGGAAATTTTACACACCGACCTTTGTGGACCCATAGAAGTACCAACATGGGATGGTAAGGAATATATTTTGACAGTTCTGGATGATTTCACTCATTATTGTCGGATATATCTCTTATCACATAAATCTGAGACCGCACAATACATAAAAGAGTTCATAAATGAAGCCGAAGCTTATAAAAACTTGAAAACTTCTAAAATTCGAAGTGACAATGGAGGTGAATATTCAAGCACAAACTTTAAAATATGGTGTAAAAACAAAGGCATTATTCTGGACAATACAGTACCATATTCACCCCAGTTAAATGGCAAAGCTGAGCGATTAAATCGTACATTATTAGAAAAGGCCAGAGCTATGATTTTTGATAGCAATCTTGATAAAGAAATGTGGGGTGAGGCAGTGTTTGTTGCTGGTTATCTACTCAACAGAAGCCCTACTGAAACAACGGGTAAAACTCCAATAGAAAATTGGACTGACAGAAGACCTGACCTTACAAAAGTACAAGTATTTGGATCCAATGCCTATACAAAAGTACTTGGACATTTAAAAAAGTTTGACCCTCGAAGTCAAAAATACACTTTTGTAGGCTATGCTCCTTGTGGATACCGGCTTTGGGACTCTGTAAATAGAAAAATAATAGTTCGAAGAGATGTAGTTTTTGGAACACCAGAAAAAATGGAACATAATGTAAATATGAAAACTGAGATTGAAAGTGCGGAAGAAGAGGATGATATGAATGAGCGAGTGAATGAGCCAGATGAAGAACCAGATGAAGACGAGAATAACAGATCAGGAGAAGGCCAGATAGAAGAAAATCCCGACGAAGAACCTGAGGAAATTCAAACAAGAAGTGGAAGAATAGTTAGAAGACCCAAAATATTTGATGAATATGTAATGCTCACATATGAAGAAGCTATAAATAGTGCAGAAAAGAACAACTGGATATCAGCAATAAATGATGAAAAGGAATCACTGAACAAAAATAATACATGGATTTACGTAGACAAAGAGAAAGCTGAAGGACAGAAAATATTGAGTAGCAAATGGGTATTTCGTATGAAAGAAAATGGGAAATTTAAGGCCAGACTAGTCATCAGAGGATTTGAGCAAGAATTTGGAATTGACTACAAAGAAACTTTTAGCCCAGTAATAAGTATGTGTCCTTTAAGAGTACTATTTGCATTAACTGCTTCAAAGAGATTTCATTTCAAGAAATTTGATATTAAGACCGCTTTCCTCTATGGAAAATTGGATGAACAAATATTCATGGAAATCCCAGACGGTTACAAGAATGAAAACAATAAAAACAATGTGTGTCTACTACAGAAATCTTTATATGGTCTAAAACAAGCTCCTTTAAATTGGAACGAGCATTTCACCTATGTGCTGAATTCCAAAGGACTCACAGCTTTAAAAAGTGAAAGATGTATTTTTAAAAATTCAAGTTCAACCTTATTTTTAGCCATTTATGTAGACGATGGTATCCTTTTTGGACATAACATTGATGAAATGGACATTTTGCTGGAGGAATTGAATAATGAATTTGATATGGTGTCATGCAATAATCCAACCTCATTTTTGGGAATGCAAATAAAAACCAATATTGACAGCATTATTCTGTTTCAAGAAAATTTTGTGCAAACACTTCTGGAGGATTTTGGTATGGAAAAATCAAAATCAGTGTCAACACCAATGGTCTGTAATCAGAACCAAGAAGCAATATCCCCAGTAAATAAAACCTTTCCATACAGAGAATTAATTGGAAGTCTCTTATACCTCACTAATAAAACCCGACCAGACATCAGTTTTTCTGTGAATAAGTGCAGCAGAAAAATGGAAAATTCAACTGTTGAAGATGTTGTTAATGTAAAACGCATTCTACGTTACTTAGTGATGTGCAAAAATGAAGGCATAAGCTACAAAATGGACTCTGATAGTTTGGAAATGACTGCCTATAGTGATTCAGACTTTGCTGGTGATCTTGACTCAAGAAAAAGTACAACTGGTTACGTGATCATGTTCTGTGGAGGACCGATTGCCTGGTGCGCAAGAAGGCAGCCAATAGTGTCTTTATCCAGCACAGAAGCTGAGTACATTGCTGCAGCAGAGTGTGTGAAAGAACTGACTTATCTGAAAACAGTGGTGGACGAACTAATGGACAGTGACATTAAATTGAAATTAAAAGTGGACAATCAAAGTGCTATTACACTAATAAACAATGGACAATTCAACAAGAGAAGCAAGCATATTGATGTGCGTTATCATTACATCAATGAAAAGGTATCTCAAGGTATTGTAAGTATTGAATATTGTCCAACAAATGATCAAGTAGCCGATATCTTTACTAAACCTCTCAATAATGTTAAATTTGAGAAATTTAAAAAAGAATTAATGTGTAAAATCTGATTTTCAACTTGCAATGTTTTTTTGTATAATTAAAATAAGTTTATTTTTCTAGCATTTAAAAACCAAAAACAAAATTAGGAGAAGGTGTTAAGAATAAGATTTAAATTAATAATTTGTTTTTGTATTTGGAATTGTTTACTATTTTCATGTTTTATAGAATTAGTTGATAGATGGCGCGGCATAACTGTATTGGAAGTGTTCGATAACTTTTCTATGGTATAAGCTAGATATTTGTTTAAATAAGAATTTGAGGTTAAGTTGAAATGTGTCAATTTTTGAATTATTATCAGCTGTTAGTTTGAAGTTTGGCTGTACTTGTACTACCCGCGTGTTCTTTGTTTGTGGTGGATTGTGGAAATAAATTAATCAAAATTCTGCGTTTATTTAATATAAAATAAGATAAAATCCCAACAGGATCTAGTAGAGAGGCTCACAAATGCAACAGAAATTAGCTGAGTGCCAGTGCGGCTAGATCCATCGTTTAAGTCATTGTTAGTTAAGAAAAAGCCTTAGATTGTGTAAATGTTAATATGATGTTGTTGTGTGGCACATTCAAAGGTTTTTGTTAACTAATAAGATCTTAACAAACGATGGATTTAATTGCATTTAACGAGTGAGGCATTTATTATTATTTAGAGTTCCTAAACTCACCAAATAAGAACGTTTAATTTTGTTTTTCTCTTTCAATGTAAGTCGCGTTCGGTATTTACATCTAGATCGATCTTTTTAATCTGAAGCGTTCGTTTATTAGCTCCGGAGGTAGCGGACGAAAATCTACATCGTTCGGTTATTCAATCGGATCAATCTGGACGACCTCCGTTTGCTCCAGCTTTTTAGACAGATGAAATAGATTAATCTGTACTTTTCATGGCATTTGAGGTTAGTTTTTGTTTGTGTTGACTGTTAATTTTAATTTTTGAGAAAGTGGTAATAATAAAAGCCAGCAGCCAGGATGAAAGAATTATCATTATTCGACAATGAAGAAAATCTAACTTACACTCTCGAAGTTTCTGATGATGAATTTGACAAAATTATTAATGAAAATGGTAAGTTTGGTATCTATTTTAGTATTTTGCCTTATTATTTATACAGTTGTTTTCGACATTAGATTTAGCTTTGGCGACCACACTTTTGGAGAAACATAAGGAGAAAACAAATCTATTAGCTGCTTTCAAGATAGTTTTGTCCAAAAACTCGCCTAACAATACTACGTGTCCTAATAAAGAGCTAGATCAGGCCGAGGATCAGGCTTCATCCTCACATGTGGTTGAAGATTTGAATGATGAAGTTTTTCACAATAATAATAATGATGTGGCTTCAACTGAAACTTTAAAAGGTACGAGTATATAGTTTCAGTGAAAGTATTGTAAAATTTACGACTTTTTTAGAAAGTAGACCGTGGACATTCGAGTCAACAAAATATTTAATACAGTTGTGTGAGAAATATGACGAGGACTTTCAAAGAGGAGTTAAAAGATTTGTCTGGAATAAGGTTTCTAGAGAACTTGAAGAAAAATTTAATCAAAAATATTCACCACAGCAATGTGATACAAAATTTAAAGGATTGAAAAACATGTACAAACAGGTAAAGAAGCATAATGAGCAGTCTGGAAAGAGCTTTAAAGCGTGGGAATATTTTAAACTAATGCATAAGCTGTTGTACTCGAAACCCGAGATAAACGCAATAGCTACATGTTCCAGCAAAAGTGGCCTGATTATAAATCGAACGCCACAAACTCCTACTTCTGATGAGATTGATGAAAGATTAGGTAGGTACTATTTTAGTAAATGTGCAAACGCATTCTGTTGTTGGAAACAATTAAAAGTTATTTAGCAGCCAAGTTTTTTTTTAGATACAGAGGAACCTATTCCATCAGGAAGCAAAACCACACCCACATATAAATCTTCCTTTATGCGTAAAAGAAAAAATATAGAAAACGCTGTCGAAAGAAGACATAAGGAGAAATTGGAAAGACAAGATAGATATTTGGCTATATTGGACAGGTTGGCAACAGCAGTTGAGAACAGTACATCAAATGACCCGAACAAGCAAACGTATGTAAATTATTATTTTTTTGTGTGAATTCCTAGGATGACGTTTATTATTTTATTTCAGTTAAACCATGTCTGGAAAAAGACCAAGAACTGACATACCTGACAATAATTATTTTTTTTTAGGTTTTAAGTTCCTGATGTTTATTTTAGTTCTTCTAGTTTATTAGATAGGTATGTATAGCAATGGATTCTGTTCCATTTTCCTTTTGTTTCATAGGTAGTTTTGTGAAAGAAAAAAAAATGTTTTGTTAAATAACTTTCAATATATATGTAGTAAAGCTTTGCAGTTTATTATAAAATAAAGAGTATTAAACAAATTTATTTAACAAATCTTGTAGCTATTTATTTAATGAACCAAGACCTTGAAGTTACTATCCTTATTCCATTCTACCATTCTGCAACATTTGTAATCGGTTCATAATCCTTTGTCGTTTAGCATCAGCCAGCTGGTCCTGGTTCACATGATTATAAACATCGTCATGATTAATCACCCTTTCTTCGTTTCGTTCTTCTTGAATATTAACAATATCATCTGCCTCATCGCCATTTAATATACAGAGATTATGTAGGATACATGCAGATGTAATTAAAAGACAAATTAGGTCGTGTCTAACGATTTCCAAAAATTTTAATCTTCTGAAGCGACCCTTCAATAAGGCAAATGCATTTTCTATTTTCACCCTAACCTCAGAAATCCGTTGGTTAAAGTTTATTTGTCTTTGTGTTAAATTTCCTGTATTTTTGAAGCCAACCATGAGAAATTCTCTTAACTTATAGGCCAAATCACCAAGAAGGAAACTATCATTAGGAAATTGGGCTTCTCCTGCAACAATATCTCTGAATAAGTCAGACTTCTCTAACAGTCTATTGTCATGAATTGATCCACATTCCCCTGTGTAAACATGAGTAAATAGTTTCTGATTATCGCAAACACCTTGTAAAAGTACTGAATGGAAACCTTTTCTGTTATAATATGAGTTTGGATAATCACTGGGTGGTAATATGCGTATATGGCTACCATCAATACATCCTTGCAAAATTACTATTGACTCCGCTAAAGAAACATACAATCAAAGAATAAAAAACAGGTTGCTGAATTGTCCAAGTAGTTCTAGGTCTTTTTGGTCTCTTGCAAAAGCTGTTGGATCTAACTTCACCAAGTCATCCATACCACCACTTACAGATAAAAATAATCACTTAGCCACAACATCAGAGGAAAAAGCCAATATGCTTGCCCAAATGTTTTCCTCCAACTCCAACCTAACAGTGCCAAACGGAAAAACTCCACCGTTCATTGAAAGGGTTTCCCATAGTATGCCAGAGGTACCCTTTTGTCACAGAGAAATACGAAAATCCCTAAAAAAGCTGGATACAAACAAAGCAATGGGTCCGGATGGCATTCCCGCAATAGTACTCAAAAATTGCGCCAACGAACTCACCCCAACTTTCGCAAAATTATTCAATTTGTCTTACAGGCAAGGAGTATATCCATCATCATGGAAGTCTGCCGCAGTACAACCCATTCCAAAGAAAGGAAAAAAGACTGATCCGTTAAACTATAGACCAATTGCTCTACTTCCGGTGATATCAAAAGTAATGGAAAGAGTTGTGAACAATCACCTAACCAAGTACTTGGAAAAGTACAAAATTATCAACGATAAGCAATACGGATTTCGAAAATATAGGTCAACTGGCGATTTACTTACATACGTCACTCACTTATGGCAAAAAGCGACTGAGTTGCGGGGTGAAACAAGAACAATTGCCTTAGATATATCTAAAGCATTCGACAAAGTTTGGCATGAAAATCTGCTCAACAAGCTCAAAGCAATGGGATTATCGCCGAAACTTTGCACTTGGTTTGAAAGTTACCTAAAGGACAGATCCATTTATGTTGCACTGGATGGCCAGAACTCCAACTCTTACCAAATAAATGCTGGTGTGCCACAGGGAGCAATCCTTTCGCCAACTCTTTTTCTGATTTACATAAATGACCTCATAGATAAAACAGTAAATCCACTTTATTGCTTTGCAGACGATGGCAATGTAGTCTCCTCACTCATACCACCGACAGGTCTTTCCGCACGTGAATTCCATCATCTTAGACTAACTCAAATATCGCAGATAAATAACGACCTGGAGATAATAGAGGACTGGGGTAACAAAAACCTTGTACAGTTCAACGCGCAGAAAACCCAAGCAGCTCTGTTTTCAAAAAAGACCAGCACTGGTGAGCCAAACATCATGCTATCTGGAAGTGCTGTCACATTACAGAGTCAGTTGAACATCTTGGGGGTTACTGCAGAGACCAACATGTCTTGGCACAGTCACGTGGCAGATATTGCTAAAAGGGCCTCCCAAAAGCTGGGGGTGCTATTTCGTACAAGACATCTGTACACACCAAGCCAATTGCTGACACTCTACAAAGCCCAGATTCGACCAACTATGGAGTACTGCTCACATATATGGAGTGCAGCACCCAAACATACCTTAATGCTTTTGAATACTGTGCAAAAACGAGCTATCAAGCTGATCAATGACCCCGCACTTACTCGTAACTTGGATGGTCTCGAACATCGCAGAACGGTGGGCGATTTATCTCTCTTCTACAGGTACTATCACGGAAAATGCTCTGAAGAGTTGGCACGTATGATTCCACCGAGAGTAGCACCTACCAGGCGAACCCGTCAAACAGACGGTAACCATGAATTTACTGTCAAACTAGAGGCACCAAGAACCTCATTATATCAGAATTCATATCTCTGGAGAACAGCATCGCTGTGGAATAAACTCCCTGCGACGGTTTTCCCTGCAGGTTACAACCTGAACCGTTTCAAGACCAACATACACCGACATTTCCGCGCACTTGCCGCTTCTCGAGCGTGATAGGACATTTCCTTGCGAGTGCGCATATCCGTAAAAAAAAAAAAAAAAAAAAAAATCCTATTACACCTGCAAATTAAATAAATTTCAGCAAAGAGTCAACAAAAACTGTAGCGTAGGAGTGTACCTTCAAGTCCGTTAATTACTTGAAACCCCTCTGTAATAGTAATAGCTCGGTGTCTTGAGGGCCAACAAATAACTTTAAAGGCCCTATTTACATCCAAAATTTTAAAGCAAGTTCGGTACAAAACTGACCAGCATGTTGATTTACTAATCCCAAATCGATCAGCAACTGATCTAAAAATGCAAATATATTATTAATTACACAATTCTTAAACTCTTATTTTTACAACTTTACCTAAAACTCTCAGTATTTGACAAAAACCATAATGTTATTAAGGCCTGTTTCTCTAATGAAATTTCAGGGCGACCAGAACACACAGCTTTATTGGTTACAGAGTGTATTTTTATAAGCAAATCTTCAAAAGCTGATGCAGTAATTCGAAAGTGTCTTTTGAATTGTAAATCTCGCAAACGCGGAACAACTTCTTCCGCAAAGTTGTCAACTTTCTCAACAATATTTATTTTTGTGTCCTCCTCATCACCATCACTGTCTTCAAATATAATTTCATGCCCTTGAGCAACAGCAAATAATGCAGATGTTAATAATGTATCACCCATAATTATAAAGTACAATTTTAATTATCGAGGGATTCTTTCAAATAATTTTTACCAATATTAATAATAAAACTTGAACAGCTGATTTATGTAATGGTAAACAAGCAACAAAAATCCGGATCGTTCGTTTATTGCAGATTAAACGGTTAGCTCTGTGGCCACGTGACATAAATCTGCTCCGATCTGGGATCTAATTACCGAACTCGACTGTATTTGTTTATGAAAGATATTTATAATTAGTTATTCAAAATGTTTAGATCTTGTTTCTGTTATTTTAAAATAAAGTTATTGAGTTCAATGGCACAAATTGTAGGTGTTATGTTATGCTAAGGAGTAGGAAGACAATCGGGAAAACATGTTAAAAAATACGCAGAATTTACTTAATAAAAATTTATTTGAAAAAAATTTAATATGGATTTTTTATTCTTCAACTTTTGTTCCTGTTGCTTTAATTGTTATCAGCTAACAGATTCACCAGCCGATTTCTTTTGGCTATGGGTAATTAATTATTATTCCTGTGAATCTATTCGTCAACTTCCTGATTCATTTTTTTCTCTGCTAATTCTTGTTCAATGTCTATGAGATCATCCACCATATCCCCATTCAAAATGCAAACATTATGCAAAACACAAGATGACATGATAATAAGGGAAATTACGTCCAACCTCACGGTTTCTAAGTATTTTAACCTTATGAACCTCCTTTTCAAATAGGCAAATGTATTCTTTATATAGACTCTAATCTATGATAGTTTGTAGTTAAATTTTTGTTGTTGATTTGTTAATGCACCTATTGAAGACGTGGTCTTATTTTTTATTCAAATCATATTCAAAAATTATTTTACTTTCTCAGCAGGCCGTATGAGTGAGTTTTACTTATTTAAAATTTATGTTTGCGCGGGTAAAGTAACGCATATTGGTTGACGGCACAGCCGCCCTGTCACCTGACGAAGGTCAGCTCTATCATTCACAGGAGTGGGAAATCACAACCGTCAAATAAAATCGATCATACGCACCGGTCGAACCGTCTAATCCTTTATAAGGTCGCGTTCGTGCCATATGTTCAAACTCCAAACACGCTTCCCAATATCCAACAAGGGGAGATTTAAAATGCGCAGTCTAGTCAAAGCACATCCCAACCGTTGAGTACCTTACGATGTAGTGCTCCCTCAGTAATCCAATCCACTATATTGCTTTCTACTGCTGTAGTCGAAGTCCGCGATATCCGTGGAAACCATCAAAGAGTAAGAGTTCTCTTCGATACGGCCAGCATGGCTTATTTCATTTCAGAAAGTTGTGTCAATCGACTAGGCCTTTAACGAAAGCATTTCTCTATTCCCATTGAAGGCATAAATAATACTTCCTCTACCACTGCAAATGGAATAACCCAATGCACCATTAGGCCTACAACCAGGAAAGATCCTTCATTTACCTTTGAGGCCATAATCAAACCCAAGGTTTGTATCAGCTCAACGAAAACTCGAAATCAATTTCCAAAAATGGTCGCACATAACTAATCTACAATCAGCAGACG